CGCAGGGGGGCCGGGGTGGTGGGGCGGGGGGGCAGAAGGCCGCAAGATCGCCCTTGACCTGCTCCTGCCCCCGCGCAGTCGCTCGTGATCCCCGAGAAGTTCCAGCACATTCTCCGCGTGCTCAACACCAACATCGACGGGCGGCGCAAGATCGCCTTCGCCATCACCGCCATCAAGGTGCGGGCCGCCCGGCGGGGGGTGGGCTGTGGGTCCGTCCCTGGGGCAGGGGCTCGCCCTGCAGGGCCCTGGCAGGGCTGGGGCAGACCCCCTCTCCCGAGCTGAGGCCTGTATTTACACTCTCCCCTTGCCCGCAGGGCGTGGGCCGGCGTTATGCCCATGTGGTGCTGAGGAAAGCAGACATTGACCTGACCAAGAGGGCCGGGGAGCTGACAGAGGATGAGGTGAGGAGGCCGGGGTGACGGTGCAGTGCAGGGTGCTGTGGGGTTTGGCTGCGGGGAGCAGTGCTGGGGAGGTCTGCTGTGGGGGGTGGGGAGCCCCGGCTGACCTTGGCTTACTGTAACCCCCCTTTCCCCGCTTGCAGGTGGAGCGCGTCATCACTATCATGCAGAACCCCCGGCAGTACAAGATCCCCGACTGGTTCCTCAACAGGCAGAAGGACATCAAGGATGGCAAATACAGCCAGGTGAGCGTTGGGGCTCCTTCCAGGCCTGTAATCTCCCAGGGCCTGTGACCAGGGGCTGAGCCTGGCAGGGGAAGGGAGTGTTACACTCAGGATGGCTCGTGGGGCTTTTATTTTATCTGGAGAAGGACAAAAGAAGTCATGGCAAGCTCCTCTGATTAACAGTTGTTTGATAGGGATGTTATCAGTGTGGCTAAGAGCAGCTACACGTGTCAGACAATATGTAGACACTTGCTGCAGGGGGAGATAAGGTCTCGGGCTTCCACGATCCCCTCCTAACGGCTGGGGGCAAGTTCCAGACTCACCCCTGTGGCTTGGCGTGGGGGAGTTGGATACGGTTCAGGTCTGTAGTCTTCCTCATTGCTCTGGGAGATTGAGCTTTTGACTGATGGAGCAGGGAAACTGAGTTATGCCCTGCCACTTGTTCTTTCCTGGGGTCGCCTTATCCGCACAGGGTGTGACCCTGGTCTCCACATCTCGGCTCTCTTGAAACTGTCGCTTAACAGCTGCCTTCTCTTGCATGCTAACGGCTGAGATTCATACTGAACTGCTTCTGGGCCCTGAGGATCTGTGCGGAGGGATGTAGCGACCTACCCAGCACAGCAAAATGGGGTGGGAGGGGGGCATGGTTTAGGACTCCCCAACAAGGGGAGAGCACCAAGGGTCTGAGGTATGCCAGACACAGGTGAGCTCCCACATGTGGTTGTGGTTCTAGGAGCTGTGGGGCCTGTCCTTGGTGCTCCTCTGCCAGCAGCCCACATGTGTGTAGTTCAGCTTCTCCCACACGGTGGGGCCTGGGCTGGCTGACCTCAGCCCCAGCTAGGCTGCATCTCTGACCTGCCTCTTTGCCACAGGTGCTGGCCAACGGGCTTGACAACAAGCTGCGTGAGGACCTGGAGCGGCTGAAAAAGATCCGGGCACATCGTGGGCTGCGTCACTTCTGGGGGTAAGTGGGGATGGGGTGTGGCGCTGCCCACAGAGGCAAGGTGGGGGGCAGAGCGGGTGATATCTCATCTCAGCTCTGACCCCTATCTCTTTCCTTCCTTTGCAGGCTACGTGTGCGAGGCCAGCACACAAAGACGACAGGCCGCCGCGGCCGCACTGTGGGTGTCTCAAAGAAGAAGTAACCTGTTCCCTGTGTCTGTAATAAAGTGCTGTTCTCAGACCTGCCTCCCTTCTCTCTCTGGGGGGATGAGTCTGGGGCAGGGCTGGTGGGAGAAGCAGGACGTGGGGCTGCTGTTCTCTTCTATCCTGGGCAGGGAAGTGTGAGAGACAAATGATAGCAGCTACCTGACAACCCAAAGAATTGATCTTTGTCCCTGTCTCCTGGGCTCTGAGGGGTTCACGGGCAGGCGGTGCTCCTGTGAGGTTGAGGCAGGGCAGGGGTGTGTGCAGGGAGTCGGTGTGCAAGAAGGGGAAGGTTACACTGACACTTGTCAATGGGTACGGGGTGGCTGTATGGCCCAGGCAGGTAGGTATTTTTCCGGGAATAGGAAGTGGGTAAGGTCTCACTTTACAATGTGACTGATGGGTCCCATTTTTTTTCATTTTCACCGACACCCTTCTGGGATCTTGCATGAAGACACCAATGTGGCTCCCCTGATCCTGCACCTGGTCCCAGCCCTGAGGGAATCCCTTCACAGCCGGTCCCTCGGGGTAGAGGGTAGGCAGGGACTGGGGCAGGACACGGCAGGGCTACGGTCTCCCAGTTGCAGGAGCTGCTTCAACCTGGCCCCTACTGCTGCCCTGCACCCCACACCAAGATCATTTCTGAATCCCTATGCTTGTAGCATTGCCCACTAGAAGGACCATCTCCAAATTCTCATCCTTCATTTACAGATCCCTGCAGCCCCCATGGGTTTATCACTTACTATGTGTGCCCCTCTCAATGTTGCCCCCTGCCCCCTCTTCCTCGTTCCGTCTTTTGTATTGAAATCACTCTGCGTTTGATCCTCTGGTCCGTTCTAGTCCTTTCATAGTAGTGATGAAGTGAGCATCTCTGCTTCAGTTAGGTGCCCAGATGCTGCAAAACACGGCCCTACTATACCATTCTGAAACAATGGCTTGTGTGTTGGGGATGGGCTCAAGGCCCCCTTCTAACCTGGTTCCCAGGGGCTCTAGCCCCAAATACTTCTATGCTGTCTGGCCTTTCAAGGCTCATCCAAAAGCTGTAGGAGTTGACAGCAGCTGGATCAGTGGGATCTGCACCAGAACCAGGGTTTCTGCAGGACACTGTCCCCAATAAACCTCTCCAAGCTCCTGCTCGGAGTCAGCAGTCGGATAGTCCTGTCTGGTGCATGGTGGCAGCCCCAGGCCTTGCACCAAGAGTCCTCTACAGCCAGGAGCTGTCATCAGGTCTGTTCTGGGGAAACAGGCACAAGGGAGAGTGGGGAACAAAGCGACTCAGCTGAGGTCCCAGCAGGGCCTGGTGTCTGGGCCCCCTAGTCTGTGCTCTGCTTTAGTTCAGACCAACCATGGTAATGGAGGGACCCCAGGAGCCCTGGACTGCAACAGATTTGGGACCAAAAATATGTCGACTCCTGAGTGTAGCGAGTGCCTGGAGCGGTTCCCACCTGACCTGACCCAGCACCAGTGCCCTCAGCAGGTACCTGCTGCTCCTGCTTCCCAAGTCCCTGTCAGGGGAACCCAGTTGCCTTAAGCCATGTGGATGCACCACCCCATCCTGTCTGGCCTCCAGTCCGTGGGTGCCAGTCAAGAAATGGCTGCACCTCTGCTGGGGCTGCGCGTGGGGCACACTTTGGGGGTGTCCTGGGGCTGGGAGGGGTCTCACAGGTTGTCTTCTCCAAGCCCTGCACAGATGCAGGCTGGGCAGTTCCTAAGCTGTTCCAGCCAGATACCCTTGAGGCCTCCTCTTACAACCCCCAAGGAAGGAAACATGACTTCCCTGACAGCTCGTCCCACCTTCTACTGGACTGACAGCAGGGCGATTCTCCTGATGTTTAGTTTGACTCTGACTTGCTGCCATCTACCCAGCAGCTCCCTGTCTTGGCCTCTGCATCAGGGTGAACTGGAGCTCTCCCTCTTCTTTAGGGCAGCCTCTCCAGGAGTTGAGGCTTGCTGCCAGCACATTCACACATGCCCCCCAGCCCATATCCCTTAGTCTCCTTTTCCCAACTACGCCCACCTCCTCCTCCTCCCCGGCCCCTTCCACATCTTTGTCACTCACCTCTGGATCCTCCCAACATCTCCCCAACCTTCCTGCACTGCAGTGCCCAGAGCTGTGCTCCAGCTGGGCCTGACCAGCGCTGGCTGACCTCTCCTGGCCGTGGGGGTGGATGGGGGGAATGACAGGCAGACCTTGATAATACTGTCACACAGGTCCCCCTTATTTTTCCCAGCTGTGGGGATCTTAGCTCACTACATCCATCCCATGGCCCTCCCTCCATTGCTCTCGAGTCCCCGTGTTCCTTTCTGTTCAGCTGCTCCCCGCTTCTCCCAATTGTTGCATTCACACTGAGCTCCTGCCTGCTGTTGCTCCAGCCCTGTCTAGGCTGCTGTGACCATGTAAAGGGGCCTTGCAATGAGTGAATCCTCTGTCTGTGCCAGGGGCTATCTCAGCTAGTGTGTGGCCCTGCATTAGCCCTGCTCCTAGCACCTCCCTTCACCACTGCAGGGAGTGTGCCAGGGGCATGGCAAGACCACTGTGCTGGGAGCAAGCTCTGCTTCCCAAGGGGCTCTGAAGATGGTCTACTTTATGCAGTGAGCTATGGAGAGCCATGCACCTCCTCAAAATCCAGGAAAACCCAAGGGGGCTTAAAAATAGCTCCAGCCAACCCAGTGTCCTCAAAGCAGGAGGCAGGGAAGGAGAATCAGGCCACTGCGTTGTTACCACCGATCATATCCATCTCTCTGCAGAGGGCTCTGGCTGCACACTCTGCCCCATGGACTGGTTGCTATGTGGGGACAAGTGCTACTGGGTAAGTCTCTGCAAAACCAAAACACTAGAGCTGTGAGGATTGCACAGCCAGGAGCTACTGGGTGCTGCTGATCCAGGACAGGGAGAAGCTGGTGAAGGGAATGGCAACATCCTGCAGGGAGAGGCTTTGGGAGGACTGGGGCTTTCACAACTCCCAAAGTGAGTGGGAGGCCCCGTGCATGTGAGGAGGAAAGCTGTGCCCAACTCCCCTGGGCAGCTGTGACATCCTCACTTTTCATGAAAGACTTGACACAAGCTTTGTGACACTCGTAGATCGGCCTATCCATGCCCTACCCAGAGAAGGACTGGGCCTGGCTGAACTGCTCTGCTATCACACCAGTCCTGCGAGTGTTTCTTATTCCAAAACTAGCTTTCTCTGTCAGTAGAAAGTGGCAGGGAGTGGGAGATTTTGGAAGAACGCTGCTGGGAGGCGGAGGTCGGAAGGCTGGGCTTGGCCATGGGAGGAGCAGGAGTCAGTGAGGAGGTATGGGGAGCTCAGCTTCATGCAGAGGAAGGATGTGGGTTATTCAGCGCTGCTTGGGCCAGCACTGGGCTTCCTCTTCCTGCTGCCCCACCTGCTGCTGTGTGCCAGCCCCGGCTGTGGTGAGGTTTGCCTTAGCTATGAGGGGGCAGGTGACAGTCTGATGCTGTGAGTGAGGCTGCCCTCATCATCACCTTCTCAGCCACTGTCCTCCTCTTCGGGACCTGGGCACTGCACTGTGCTGAGCAGGGTCAGGCGATCCAGCTCAGCCAGGTGATGCTGGTGCCTCGGGACACGCACTGCAAACCTGTTCTGTTCCCACGGGGGCTGCGGGGAGCTCTGTACAAGCCCATGTATCCCAGGGCTGGCAGTGTCAGGTTCTGGGCTCTGCCCTTTGCACCTCTGGTTGGAATATAGCCCTGGACACCAGGACATAAGCTGGACCATCGCAGGTCAGATCAGTGGTCAGTCTCCTGTCTCCCACAGTGGCAAGCATCAGGTACAGTAAAGGGAGCCTGTCTAGAGTTACTCACCCCCTGGCAGACCTTCCATGGTGCAGGGAGGTCGTCTGCCTGATGGGAGCTACAGGCCTGGGCAGTGTGACCCTGGGACCAAATACACACAAGAGGGGAAGGAGAGTTTCCCCACAGGAAATTGGGGCAGCGCTGTCAGTGCTGGTCTGGCCAGGAAAACCTTGTCTACTTTCCCCTTGAGCCTGGAACCATTCCTGGATCCCAGTGACAGCCCTGGGGCCTGAAGCAGGGAGCTCAGTGCTGGGGAGCAGGGAGAAGATCAGCCCAGAGCTGCCTGAGATGACAGCAGGCCAGAGAAGCCCTGGGGCAGGGAGCTGTCTGCTCTGCTGTGTCGGGGTGAGTGAGGGGGAAAGGCTGCAGGGTCAGGACACATCTGCATTTCAGGTAGGGGAAAGATGGGGGCATTTTAGTTACATGTTTATTCTGGGGATGCTAAAATGCCTTGAGTCTCATAGGCAGACAAGGTCCTTCTGGTAAATCTGATATCTTTTATTAGGCCAACTCAAATAGTTGGAAAAAACTTTCTTAGCAAGCTTTCAGGTTTAAAAACGCTTGAGAAGGCATCTTGATCACCACTGATCTGGACTGAGAGAAGTAGCTAGTTGTGTCAGTCTGAAGTCAGGCAGAAGGCAGGGTAGAGATGCCCCTTATAGACTCAGGGGTGCTCAACCCTGAACCCCATGGTCCAGGTCTGGCCTGCAGAGCCACCTCATCCATGCTGTGGGGCTCTCACTGGTCCAGACATTTGGCAGTGCAGCAACAGAATGAAGGACTGGGACCCCTGAGGCAGGAAGTGAAAAAATAAAAGCTGCTGCACTGCCAGCAGCAAAGTCAATGTTGCTGTGCCCTCCCAAACCGCTACTCATCCCAAGCCACCCATGAACCCCTGTACCCAGGACACTCTGCCATCATGTATGCGTGCTAGGTACCCACACATAAACCATGGGCAGGAGGCCTGCTGAATGACCATGGACTACAAATCCCAGAGGCACCTGGAAGCAGGAAGAGGAAGTGACAAGAAACCCTGCATCTGGGATTTGTAGTCCATTGTCAGTCAGCAGGCTACTGACACCCTCCCACACTCCACCATACCCACAGCCCCATGCCAACCACATACCCCACACCCCTCCATGCCCACCCCACCCTCCCCAACACACATTATCCACCATACCCACACCCCAGTCACACACCTCTGCTGCCCAACCACACACCCC